ATTAGTAATAATAATAAAAGCTGCTGCGCTCGGGACACTGAGGTCAAAATGTATATAGATGGGTGTGCAGCGCTCGGGGTCACCAATAAGGTGATCAAATACGTAAATAAAGTGTTAACCAAATACATGTAATCAAAAAATTTCAAAAAATTTGTAATAAAAAAAGTTTACAAATTGAATTACATTTTTATTACATGTTGTTTGGTTAACACTTTATTTACGTATTTGATGGTTCACCTTATTGGTGACCCCGAGCGCTGCACACCGATAACAGTCTAATGCCTGTCTGGCACTTGCAGTTGTGCTCCCAGTCAAGGCCGGTGCAAGGATTTTTGCCTACACAGGCAAAGGTGCACCCTCAGGCATTCTTATGGTAGCCCTGCAAAGACATCCCATAAAGTAGCACTCCAAACTAATAGGAGATCTGAGATATCCATGTTACAGGTCAAACCAATTATGTTAGGAGTATTTAGAAAAAAGGAAGACATCAGCTACTAGTGCTGTATATGCGAAGCCACAAGCAATGACACCCCAAATAGTTTACTGTGAAGCACCCCAATACAAAGACACCCCAAAGTGTACCACTCCAGAAAGCTTAACGAAGATGACCATGTTACAGCTCACACTAAACATATCCAGAATTTGGGAAAAGATTAACCATCATCTTCTGAAGCCCAATATGTAAAGCCACAGACATTGACACCCCACATCTATTATCATGGAGCACCCCACTACAAGGACAACCTCGCCATAGATCTCCACTAAAGATATCATAATCAACAGCACTGACCGCCAATGTAACGAAGGTAGTCACACTGACCGCCAATGTAACGAAGGTATTCGCACTGACCGCCAATGTAACAAAGGTATTCGCACTGACCGCCAATGTAACAAAGGTATTCGCACTGACCGCCAATGTAACAAAGGTATTCACACTGACCGCCAATGTAACAAAGGTATTCGCACTGACCGCCAATGTAAGGAAGGTATTCGCACTGACCGCCAATGTAAGGAAGGTATTCGCACTGACCGCCAATGTAATGAAGGTATTCGCACTGACCGCCAAAGTAACAAAAGTATTTACATTGACCGCCAATGTAACGAAAGTGTCCACAATGACCGCAAATATAACAGAGGTTTACACCATACACATACTTAAACATACCTTTTCTTGCAGTCTTCAGGCAGTTTTTCCTTCCTTAACAGCGGGGGGTTGGGGGGCGACGGTGTTGATTTGCATATTAATTAGCCGTGATATTTACATATGAATGTGTCATGGCTTATTGATATGCAAATACCACGGCCCATTCATATGTAAATATCTCTGCCGGACAGTGCAGGCTTTCAGCAGGATCTGGGGAGAGCATACATCAGGGGGAGCTAAGGGCGGGGTTCAGACTATAGGAAACTGAAGCTCAGAGCCCCGTCCATGCCGCTGCTCCTGTGTATGGTAGCGCCGGCTCTGCTCCCAGTTTAACTGTGACTAGCACTAGTTATGTTTTGGTGGTTATATTTAAATTGGAAATAAAGCTGTGGCCTTGCCCTTTTCCAACTTAATTGTTGTCTTTTATGGGGAAAAGCTGAATATCAGCCAGTTTGGGGTATTTTTCTAGGCCTAGGCTTCTCATCAGTCAAAAAACAAACAGTCAATTTTTGACTATTCCTTTAATAAAAAACATTTTAAAAAATGGCTCCATCGATGTAATCCAGAGTCAGGATCAGGATGCAGGACCCCCGCCGACCCGCCGAAATAAAAAAAGTCCCGCC